ACCTTCCCTACTGGCAGGAAGGGGTGGGGCGTCCACGCAGATTTGCTCCCCCTGGTGGTGATCCCTGCTGCACTGTCAGTCCAGCTGAAGGCGGAGCTTGGCTATTGAGACCAATGAGACTGAAGTGTAAGAGCCAGAGCTGACCCCATGGGGGTACCAGGGGGAAGCAGCTGCTGGGCAGAGTCTCATCCCACTCAGCTGTGAGCAGGAGTGTGGGCCCATCCTAAAGCAGACAGGGCTGGGTGTCCCCATCAGTACCAACAGGCTCCCATGGCCCAGACCTGGGAATGTAAGGAAGACACAACTGTGGGCACCCACTTCACAGATTGAGACAGACCTGCAGCTCCCCTTGCTGCCCACTGGGTGGTCTTCGGTCTCTCTCTGGACAGGATGACAGGGGCTAGGCCTGTCCTCTGGTCACTGCCATTCCCTGACTATTGACCACACACCCTGCTGTCCCTGAGCAACTAGTAATAATGAATAGACCTTTCCAGGGAGGGCATTTGGGCTGCTAGGACAGGAGACGTGGACAATATGATGACTGTACCCTGTGAGGAGGCTGCGGGGACTGAGAACACAGAGGGCTCTGGGGCGCCGTCTTAAGCATCTCCTTCCTCAGGACCCAGGGATGGAGGTGAATGGGAACTGGGTCTGAGTGAGGAGTCTGGTCCTGCATCAGCACAAACAGAGCCAGGTCTGAGGAACTGAGCAGGTGCTGAGAAGATGTCCCAGAGGGTGCACGTTCAGCCCTGTGCTGCATGATGACGTGCAATCCATGAGGGACGGCCTGTGACAGTGGTGTCCTGGTAGGACAGGAGACGTGGACAATATGATGACTGTACCCTGTGAGGAGGCTCCGGACTGAGAACACAGAGGGCTCTGGGGCGCCGTCTTAAGCATCTCCTTCCTCAGGACCCAGGGATGGAGGTGAATGGGAACTGGGTCTGAGTGAGGAGTCTGGTCCTGCATCAGCACAAACAGAGCCAGGTCTGAGGAACTGAGCAGGTGCTGAGAAGATGTCCCAGAGGGTGCACGTTCAGCCCTGTGCTGCATGACGATGTGCAATCCATGAGGGACAGCCTGTGACAGTGGTGTCATGAGGGCCAGAGGCTAGACCCCAGGCCCGAATGTGGCTCAGGCTGTCCCACCTGGATTTGTGCAAGTTCTCCCTATGATGTGTGTAAAAACAGTTGCCTACAAGTACATTTTAGTAAGTGTAACCACCCCAGCAGGTGGCATGGTGGATAAGGTGCTGGACTCCCACATGGCCAAGGTTTGAGTCTCAGGCCTGGTGCCTTGCTTTCTCACTTTCCCCCTCTCTCTCTCTGTTTCTTTCTGGTGAGTACATTTGCCCTATAGCAAAATGAAAACATAATCGTAAGTAAAATTAAATAATTAATAATAATAATAAAAAGAAAGAAATGTGGGACCAGCAGATGGTGAAATGTTTATGTAGCTGGACACCCACGTGTTTGACATCAGTGTGAATCCTGGACCTGGTTGCGTAAACTCACCAGACACATGTGCATGTCTGTCCAAGGTCCTAAGAGGAGAATGGAGGATAAGGGAGTGTGGAGTGGCCCTGCCCCCTGGGAGGAGTGATTTCCCACTTCTATTTCTCTGTCTTCCTCTGTCTCTCTCATGAATGCAAACGCCCTATAGCAAAAAATATCTCCTAAAGAAAAAAAAAATGTAACCTCAGTGTTCAGGACACAGGATAGTGCCCAGGATACAGGGGTGGTGGAACTTACAACGTGAATTTGTGCAGTGTCCTATGACCTTGAAGTGGTTGAAAAAGGAAGAGTATTTGGATGCAGATTACTAAAACCCTTCATGATGGGCAGGATGGGTGGGGCTGTGTGGACCCAAGTGTGGGAGGTCTCGGCTGTCAGTCCTGAGCAGAGGGCAGCAGGCAGGGCCAGGTGGGGGCTCTCAGCTCTGATCCACCCTTTCCCTCTCATGAACTGGAACTCAATGGGCCCTGCTGTCCCAGTACAGGCACAGCAGATTGGAGACTTAGAAAGAAATAGACATTTAGCAACTCAAGCTTCTGGTAAACAGAACATGACTGACAGATTCCTACAACAGTGTAAGGAGAGGGTGATCATCCTGACCACACAGACACTTCATGTTTGGAAGCTTCTGGAACTGACCCTGTATGTCTCTTCCACTGACTCATCTTGACTTGTCTCCATTATAACCAAACTGTGGTCTTCTAATACTGGGTTATAAAGGATGAGACTAAGTGTGGTGAATTATCAAACCTACATGCTGTGAGAGCCCCTGAATTTGAGCAGATCACCCCAAAGTGTGCAGATGCTGGATCCCCTGAACTTGTGGCTGGTGTCTGAGGTGGCAGAAGGGGAGAAGCCTTGAGAAGACTATTACCAATAACCCACGGGATATGTCCTCAGGTCAGGTATTTTCCGTAAGAAAAGCATTGTGGAGTGCAATCCCACCAGAGCCTTTTTTAAATTTTTGTTTTATTTTATAACCAAATATCATATTAGAATACAATTTTCTGGAAGTGTACCACACAACTGCATTATAACAGACGGCTATGACCTCAGTTCTTCCTATAACATATATTTAAGAAAAAAAACTAACTTTTACTTAGGACTTATGATTTTTGAAGTAAAAACTCTAGAAAAAGTCCTTGGAACTTCTATTTTTACACACTAATTTTAAAAATGTCTATTTGTAAAATTAGTGTGTTGATAAAATATCATCTTGAAAAATGTTTCAATGAATATAAAGGGTTAATCATTTAAATATATTATTCTCTATGCCAATGAGCAAAACCTTAATCTTTCTGTGAAGAAAATGAAAATACAGTATTTCTTGGTTTCAGTGAGTCCAATATTTATATATAAAGACCCTATCAGAAGAAGCTCACTGCTATGTACAGGAAGTGATGGTTGGGAAATTGTAGCCAATGTGGAAGGACCTCCCCAGATCACACTGTCCTCTGAGACCCACAGATGGAGTTGAGGTGGTTGGACACAGCCTGGCAGCTCAGGAGGCCTGAGTGAACAGAGGGAACTTCTTTAAAACCTCAGGTTTGTTCCTGGGGGAAAAAGATTCAGGCTGGGGCTTTCAACTCCTGGCAAGGTCACAAAGGCTTCCTGTGATGTGGAGACTCTCATCTCTTCAAGGGATTCAAATGCTTTCAGCATCTCCAGCATCTCCTCCTCTTGTCTTTCAGGCTGGGGCTTTCGGCTCCTGGCAAGGTCACAAAGGCTTCCTGTGATGTGGAGACTCTCATCTCTTCAAGGGATTCAAATGCTTTCAGCATCTCCTCGTTTGGAGTATGTTGATCTCTCCTCTTCCAGGTCCTGAACCAGGGACCTTAATTCCTGCCTGAGTATCAGGTTGATCCTCTCCTCCTTCCTGTAGTCTTTGGTAAGGTGGGGGATATTGAAGGACTCTCTCTCTTTTCCTGGCTCTCTCCAAAGATGACTAAGTTCCTGCCTGCTGCTCCTCTCTGCCAGCACTGAGCTTGTCAAGGAGCTGACATTTCTCCTCCATGCAGGCAGTCAGGGTCTCTGCGAGCTGCTTCTCTCGTCTCACACAACACCAACTACCACTGACCTAAAAAGTCTGAATAGAAACATGAGGCCCACCAGGAAACAGAGGAGAGGGGGACACTGCAGCGCCTTCCCCTGGAGGTTGTAAAAAGTGAGCCTTGGATTGGAATTGTTGGGCAACAGCTCCTTCATCACCTAATCCAGCTTCCCAAATATTAGCTCAAAGCCCAGCTCCACAGAGGACAACAGTCCCTCCATGGCTCTGCAGTCACCACAGGGCCCTATCCAATCACTGTGGATCCAGCTGCTACAACAGTCCCCAGGGAATGTCCCCACATTCCACCTGGAACCCACCCAGCACCTGGCATTCTTGGGTTGATCAGTTACATGGTCTGCAGTAGAAGGAGATGTGGAAGATCCAAAACACTCATCTACACAACTATCCATTGACCAATCCATCCCCATCCACACTGTTGCTTTTGTTGCAACATCAAATAAAAATATTGTGGCATGTGTGAATCATAGTGTATGGATGGAGAGTTGTACAAGTTTATTCCCCTCTGCAGGAGCCGACACCCCTATCAATACTTGAGTCATGTCTAGTAGAAGAGAAAATGTCCCATGTAACATTTTAATTAATACTCGCCCTCCATGACCATGGGCAGCCTATCTTGATTTACATTAGTACCAATCAGTGTCAGATGTTTCCTGAACATCACAGGATTAAACACATCACAATGCACACTTTTTGTCTCCTTTGACTAAAATAGTCCACCTGATATACATCCAAGTTTCTCTAGGGATAAGAAATTCACTCTGTTCATGTTTGAGCCAATTGACAGTTTAGGAGTATGTCACAGAATATTTATAGCCCTTTGTTTTTATTTTTACTTATTCATTTATTTGAGAGAGATTTTTGCTATAGGGTTTGTGGGCTCACAGAGAGACAGAGAGATAGAAAGCAAGAAGTCAATCTCCTCCCGCCCCCCGGGGAGATGGCCATGCTGCAGTCTGTCCTCTTTCATTCTCCTCTCAGAATACTGGGCATGGAAGCACATGCACGTGATGTGAGGTTTTCTTTTTTTTCTTTTTTTGAG